TTTGTATAAACTGTACACCCTTTTCAAGCAGTTTTCCTCACTCCCCTGACCACATCGAGTGGATCATTGGCTGTTTGGCAGTTTATGTTATCTTAAGTTGTCACCTTTCCTTTCTCTGTCCTGATTCTTATATTACTAGAAACTTGAAGACTAAATTTTTGTGTGTGTTTTTCTTAAGAAGAAACCCCTCCAAGACAAACTCTTCTTCTCCCCCTCGCCACAAAGCAGCCTCCTCCCAGCTATTACCGTCTCTTTCCTCTTTTGATTAGAGCTCAAAATCTGTAAATATGGTCCTAATAGTTGCTGTCGCACATGATCTGATGAACAGACCTTCTTGCTTACTGGTTTCAAGGTTCATTTTGAGAAGTTGAATGCCATGCGGGTGGAGGCATATAACATGTCATGTAAAGATTTAGTTGAATAGGACAAAGATCTCAGGAATAATCAAAGCTTATTGATGCAATTTGGTAAATCTTCCCAGTTGTAGGTTCAAGTTTTATTATGCAACATCTTGAAAGTTATTTGGTGAATTAAAAGTATGACATGAACAAGCATAAAGTTAAATTAAGATTTTAAAGGCGGCTATTTTGTCAGTTTATCACGTTTTGCATTGAAGATTAACTTGATTACTGCTTACCTTTCTGAGGAGTTGAAAATATTGGTTTCTAAATGAATTCTTCAATATTTTCAGTATCTACACTACAGTGTTCTTCCCTGTTGTGATAATTTTTTGGGGGCAGGGGGGACAGAGGAGTCTATCTCTGGCTTCAAATTTGAACAATACTGATCATAATTTCTGGAAGAAGTGCAAATTTTAAGCTATAGAATGGTACGTCGGAGTAATAGTGCTTGGGTTAAACAGTGTATTTTTCTTTTGTAGCAGTGAAAAATGTGGAAGTCTTTTAACGTTTTTCAGAAGTCTTTCATCTTATGCTGAGTGGTATGAACATCGCAGATGCACCTTCCTGCATTTCAAGGTAGTGTCTATCAAGCTTTTGTGTATTGGTGTACTGTATTTAGTTCTTTAAGTAGCTCATTGAAACAGAGCAATGGAGGTGAAATTAGTGCACTTTAGCAGACTATGGAAATCTTAATTTTGTATGTTGTGAAGTGAAGAGTATTAGCGCTTGCTTAGTGTCTTGTTTTTTACCATTCTGCTGTCATATTCCTCATATATGGGGGAAAATAAGAGTATCTGTGCCTTTCTGTTGGGAAGTAAGATAGGTTTTCATTGGTGTTACGTTTTATTTTGACCAAAATAAAGGCAAAAGAGGAAATTAAAAGACAATAACATTTGTAGTCTTTGGCATTGACGTGTTCTGAAGGACTGGATCTGTCTCTTGAAAATGTGGCAGGATGCGTTTGGGCAAAGTGTTTTACTTGAATGTGAAATAAACTGTTCCTCAGTCTTAACTGGAACATAGTAAATGAACTTTGTTTTAAATTGCCATTTAAATTGCCATAATTTGGCTCGTTTGTTTTGTCTTTGTACCTATTTTAAGATAATTAATCTTTAGAGTAAAAATACTGTAGTCTGGCAGACACAGAGCGTCTTAATATGATGCGTAATGTTAGAGGAGGCTGTTTAGTGCTTAATTATGTGTGGTTTTTTTAATTCAGCTTTATTTAGCTCCAGCATTTACTGTCATTAAACTCGGCACCCTCTTTTCAGCTGTAGTAAGAAGTGGGAACTGCTTTGTTTCCTACTTTTTGAATCTTTGAGGGCTTTCTGAATTCTGTGCTACATTGATTTCTAGCATCAAATCAATCAGATTAAAGAAAAAAGTACTGAATTCTGATACTTTTTTTTTTTTTAAGTAAAAAAAGAATCCTGTCCTCAGCTGAGTAACAAACTGATGTTGTCTAATCCTGCTGGTTCTTGTAAAAGGACTTCTATTTAATCCCTCCATAGAGAAGGTAGAACACCAAGGGCTTTTATGGCTTTGTGTTGTTGGTTTCTTGTTTGTTTTTTTTCCCAACTTCACTTGATGCTTTCTGATGCTTGGATCAGCCTAATAACAGCAGTCACTGTGGTTTCTGGGACAAAGATTCAGTGAACTGGTTTCTTTTTAAAATTTAGTACAAAAATAAAAAACAAAAGGGAAATAGGTCTGGAGATGATTTTTAAAATTGTGTGTATCTTAAGCAGTTTCTGAAGTATTTGTTCAGACATGGAGTGTAAACAATGAAGGGGTATATTCATTGCTAGAAGATGTGTGAAGATAAATTCATAAAGACATATTGCAAGTTTGTCAGTATTGCAAATATTCTGTCTAAACATATTTTTCTTTCTGTGGACAAAGATGCTGTTGAGAAAGGCAAACCAATTTGGGAGAATATTTATCAAGTATGGTTGACTTTGTGCTTATGAGGAGTCTTTAGGCCTTATTTCTGCTAGCATTAGTAATGATTTCTTTTAGAAATAAAGGGTTTAGAGATTAGATCTGACAATTCAAATACCAGATTGCTAAGGAGAATGTGTATTTGTAACTTAATATTCTGTAGTCATTTGTGTGAAAGTAACTAGAAATACACCTTTAACATATATATAAAAACAACTGAAGAGTCTTACCCTAGTAATATTCATACTTAAATATTGAGTCTGTAATCTTGGTATTTATTTCTTTTTCCTACATGCTTGCTAGACTTCAAGTGTAGAGGCAGGTAACCGTGCGCAGTATTAGAGAGACTATTTGGGATGGGATTTGTGGTTTATATTTTTCTATCCATTTGTTATTTAAAAGAAAATTATCTAGACTGTTAAGTAGAAATAGACAGTGCTTCTAATAGTACTCTAGTGGAATCTATTAGTTACAGTGAACTGTAAAACCAGTTTGGTACTTGAGAAGAAAGGAATAATGTAGAAGGGATCGAGTACTTCAAATAATAATGAATGAGATGAATGACAGTTGTAAGTTTAAAGCAAAGTTGGGCACCACTGTATTTCTAAAAAGTTGACTGTCACAAATAGCAGATTTGTAGTGAGATTCTTTCCAGTTATCAAGAGTGATGGTAAGATGCATAACTTGGATTAAGCAAAAAACAGTTTTAAATACTCATTGATTTGACTGTGAGCAGGCTTTCCTAGAAAACGGGTAGATTTAGGTTCGTGGGAGTAGAGTAATGTTCAGTTGTAAGCATTTTGTGCTCTGCGTTATATGCTCCCTGACATTGTGCTTCAGCAGTTGTGGGTTTTTTACTGAAATAGGTTAGTCTACAACTTGAATGCTTCATGCACACACAAGGACTGAGCATACAGTTACTAATCTCTGCTACTGCTCCTTTATTCTACTGAGAAATTCCACAAGGTAGTGCCTTAAATAGATTTTTGAAGGGATGAGTGGTGCGTCCCACAAGTTTTCTGTATGGCATTACTTGTATGGCAGGTATTATGATATTGCCACAGTAAATACTGTGTCTGCAAAATGGATTTATGTCTGCAAATAATTTTCTGATCTGAACATGCTTTAAGTCTGCTATGAGGGTGAACAACTGGGCATGTTGGCATTGCTGGAAAAGCAGATTGTTGACGCTGATATCGATAAACAAGAAAAAAAATCAAGTTTTATTGGAAATACTGAACAGAAATGAGAGATGAAAAAAACCAGAATGGTGTACATTCAGCTTGATATTAGTACTGGTCACACAAACAGAAAGTAAAAACTCCTGCATACTGAAGCCCTTCTCACTTAATGGTTTGAGTTAACTTGCTATGAGTAGGAAAAGTAAATTAAAACATAGGAGATAAGTTATTGCCTGCAAGAGGCATAGCAGTTGTCTGCTTTGGTTTGCTCACAAAATATTAAGAGCTTTCATTAGTGTTACTATTGATACTTGGTAATTTAAAAAAAGTACCTACAACATTTTAAGGCAAAATTAATAATGTGGTGGTAGTGGTTAGGTCTTAGAATGTTTACATGTGTGTATATATTGCATAAATATGTCTATATTTGTGTATACACAGAATTGTTCTCATAGGAAAAGTTTTGATGATATTTACTGATCCTGATAATGCTGGAAGGAGCTTTACTTAGTAGATAAGATCTGTGATGAGGAGAAGGTCAAGGGCCATTGTTTATGTATTAAACTTCTGGCTGTGTTTTATCTGTCTTAGGCATTTATCAAAAGAGGGATGGAAGAATTGGTGGCTTGCTTTTTTCTAGTATAAATTATGCTTGAAGTTGGAATGTATTTTTACATGCTTTAGGGTTATATTTTTTACCTTTGCGGAAACCTGGAAACTTTAAGTTTTTCTGATGTAAAAATTGAAAACAAAGTATTATTTTCACTGTCACACTTGGTTGTCTCAGTTATATTAAGAAAATGGAATTTCTTGTTATATTAAATAACTTATAATGGAAAATATTGCATTGCTTTGTCTATCTTGGGTAATGGGCTCAGGGCAAAAATATATTTGTCCTGCACTTCATAATTGCATTCTCTTACCAGAAAGATGAGCCCACAGTTGAGGCTTGACATACTTTCTTAAAAAGTGACTGAAAGCTACTTAGGTCTCAACACTCTTAGTGGCAGAGTATCAGTTTGTTCAGTATAAAGTATGCACTTAATTTCCCATAGCACAAGCACGAACAAATCAAGGGTTAGCTAAGCAAGATAAACATAACTAATAAAAAAATATCTTGTGAAATTATTATTCTGTATTAGCGGTATATCATCATGCATTTGATGCTTAACTATTTCTACAGATTAGGAATCTATACTAGCTTCAAAATTAGTATGAAGTTCATGTGGTAATAGTAATTGTTGCTTTTGTTTATCTGAAGAGTTTACACATGTGGTAGGTATTTGAGGGGAGAAGCTGAAAATGAATGTCAAATGTGTAATTGTGTAATTAGAAACATTGTATCCTTTATCAAGTATGTCCTGTTTCAGGTGAACTGACTGTTGAGGCCTGCATACACTGGTTTGCATTTTTAATACACTGTATGGTTTAGAGTGGAACAATGCTTGAAGTTAACATTATTTTTAGATTAAAAATAGAAAGAACTTTTAAATTTAAAGATCTGATTTATTTTTTTTCCTAAAGAGCAAATATATAGCTATACAAGGGTAGTTCTGTTTCTTTGCACTAGTGTCTAGCTGAGATTTTACTTATTTACAGGTAATATTGAACATTAATTCAGCTTTGCTGTTAATTATATTGTCACATTTTCTTGTCAAGGAAAAGCAGGAGAACAAAGCTTGGTCTGCATCATCTGTTAATTAGAAAGATACTTGGAGTCATACTATGCTGTGCTTTGACTATTGTATTAAAATGGGAAGCTCTCATTGCAAAAATGACTTGTGAGTACAGCTGAGCAAAAATTATATATTTCAATTAAAAATACCTTGTGTGAAAAATATAATGTATATATATGCACACGCAGGTTGTTTTGAAAGCAAAACAAAAGGACATTTAACCTGTCTTTGAAAAGTTCCACTTGCTATGTTGCTTGGTACACTAAGCCTAATTAGAAACTTTAATTTTCCACAAACCAAGTTTTTAAGGAACTTTTAATGAAGTTCAGCATTGAGAAGTTCTGTTTTTAAACATAACTTCCTTTAGTATGCAACTTCATCCAATACACTTTTGAAGGTCTACTGAAAAGTTTCATTTCAGATTTAAAAAAGTAGCATTGGAATTAAGTTGTGATTTCTTCTGTAGCTTGCTCAGTGTTTGGCATTCATCTGAAAATGAAATGAGATGTAGTAATTGCTCAGAGTAGTGGTAAAGAATGTGACCAACCAATTAATTGTGTGTGAATTTTACCTACACATAAAGAGTATATGGTGGAATGAAAAGTAGAGAAGGTATGTGTGTGCATATATATGTTTTTAATAGAAGAGATTCTGAAAGCATGGGTGACATTGTAACTAGAAAATAAAGTGTTTTGAAATAGTTCTTTAAGAGAAGAACCATGTTTCAACATAGTAAAAGGTTCTGGGAAAATAGCATTAGTAAGGAAGAGGGTATAAACATGTAAACAGAGGAAAAAGAATGATCTTTTAAGTTTTGGCATGTATAGTCATGCAAGTAGTGGCTAGTAGTATGTTCCTACAGGCAGTGTTCTCAAGCAGGAAAAAGCATTAACATGCTTTGCCAAGAGGATTGGATTGCCTTCCATCCTTATCTCATCCATGAGTGTGCGGATGTAACGTGTGTTATTAGATTTGCAGAACGTGTCATCGGTGATTGTAGTAATATTGTTGTACTGCAAAACAAAACATAAACGCACATCTTTATACAACCCCCATAGATGTTGAAGAATTTTCAAACTTTATCTCTCTTGCCCTCCCATTTTATTGTCATTGGAGTTGATTTGTGAATACTTTAGACAGGTAGGAATCAAATCTCTTCAATCAATGAGCTGATAAGCAATTTGAGGTTGTTATTGATGTTTGGAATGTGTTATTGATAAAAGATCATTGCTTATTTTTATGATTTCCTTTCGTTGATATACAGAAATGACTGAGAAATTCTTGCATGGTAATTAGCCAAAACAAATTCTGAACTTTTGTATAGTTGTGGCAATACAGATGAGAGGCAAAGTGTTTTATTTGGAGAGTGTTAGCTGTAGCACAACTGCAGAGTGAACCCTTTTTAAAAGGCAGCGGGTTTGGTTTGAAGTATGTAACTTAATGAGGCTTTTTGTAATAGCATGGTAAAGAAATACTTTAAAAATACCTGAAGGTGAAGAATACGCAGACTTTCTGGCAAGTTAAGGGGAACAGATTCCAGTGCATTATGTCCCAAGTAGAGGTAGGCCAAGTTTGTCAGTTTCTAATAGGAAAAAACAGATAATGCTAATATTACTTACTTGAAGTTAAGTAAGTTGTGCCTCTTACTGGACATCATTAATTTTTCAGATCACTTAGTCTGTTAAGTGATCTCACATAAAGCCTCTTTTGCTGTGAATGTTGAATTCTATTGTATCAAGAAATTCATAGAACAGGCCTTCTTGTGTTTTGGAAATTTCACTGTCAGCTTATTGGCTATGGTATTTGAGCCATCAATTTTTGAATTGAGTTTTTCTTTGCATGTAGGACAGAAAGAAAAGTATTTAATAGAAAATTTTTTAATATGAAGGACATGAGAAAGTGCATATGCAAAGGACTATTCCAGAGTGCCTTAAAAACAGAATGAAAACTGGAAAGCTTCATCATAGTTTGTTTCTTATGTTACAAAAATACAGAATTTCATTTAGTGCTACAGTGCATAGTGTGGTTATTATTTTTGTTTACTTTGGTTACCTAAATTATTGTCTCTTACTTACCTTGAAAGCATTTGCTTTGATTCCTCTGCTCTTGATTCTGTTTTGGTTTGCATTAAATGTTGTTAGTTTGGGAGGTAGAACAGGAAGTTTTAGAAGTCGATTTTCAGCAAGAGAAAGTTCTTCCAATAACAGAAGCTTTGAAAAGGCTCCATCTTCTATTTCTTCTATCCTATTTCCACTAAAATCAATTCTTCTCAAGGTAGCTTTACACAAAAGAAACAAAAATCTAAATATTGAATTTATGTAATTATATGGCATGTGAAATGTATATGGTTGTATACAATCAGTGTTACGCTGTTGGCTGCATTATCCTTACTGTGATCTACAAATGTAAACAGTTAAAATGTGAATGAAACCCACATTTGGGTTCACTCATGGTCTTAATAAAAATTCAAGGATCCAGAGTGTTTTCCTTTTATATTTTTTTTCTTTATTAACAATGTTATTTCAGTAATTCGTAGTTTGTCATGTTGTAGTGTGTGGTAGCTGGAAGAAATAAGCCTGGAGCATTTGAAGGAAAAATAGTACCTGGTCATTTAAGACTGGCAGAGATGCAGAGTTCAGTTTTATTTTTAGCAGTCTACTCTTTCTCTTGCATGGGATTATGTGGGAATATTAAGATGTATACATGGCCTAACATGGATTTCTGCATGGCTTTCACATTTCCTGTTCTAATACAAGTGTTGAATTAAATAAGTAATACATGTAATGAAATCTATTAAGGTATAAAGTACATCTTATTTCGGTAACTTGGCATAGTGTTAAGGGACAACAATTCAAACAGAAATTAAAACTGGAACATTACTTACTAATGTCAGCAAAATCTGAGGCTGCTATCCTTTTTATTTTGTTAAATCGTGCATAAAGATACGCTGTTTCCTTTGGCAGTGGGGGTACAGCTTCGATGTCTATTTCCTCACAGTACACTGATCCGCTTAGACACACACAGAGCAGACAAGTAGGTAAATCTGAAACAAGATTACTGTGAGTAGACAGTTAAAAGTTATTCAACTAACTAAAGCTTTAATATTCAAAATATAACTTTCCCACTGTTTTTTAAAAAACGCTATTCCCATCAAGTTCTGAAAAGAGTTAATATTCTGAACTTTTGAGATTTGTATTATTTTATGGTGCATAATTTCCCTGTGTATATTCACTGTTCTTACTGAGCATGTCTTGAAATGCTATGAATTGATCTGAATTCAGTTTCATTCTTTAATTGGCTTAGTATGACAACTGCAACTCTGTGACCATGTTAAATTCCAGCTTTAGTAGAAGCATTCACATGAGAAGAGAAATCCATGTAGGGGAAACATGGCAGTGCTCACATTTGGTCCTGTAATTGCACTGGGGCATTTCTGGCAGGGTCACCTGTACTCTGTGGTACTCCTAGCTACCGTTTTGTCTAATTCTTTTTATAGAACTCCAACAGTGATGATTATAAAATTACTGTAGGCAATCTATTTGAGTTTTTTACCGAGTTTTTAAAAATGTTTTTTTATAGCTGTTATTTTAATTAGTGAAACTCTTTATATTTTTAAATGTTGTTTAAGCCCATTATGACTTGTCCTGTTCCTCATAGACATTAGTAGAGCATTAGTAATTTCTGCTTTGCTTTTACAATCGTGTATGGCAGCAATATTCAAACACTTATAATGACTATGGGTTTGAATCCTGTTTTGTCACCGTTATCTGATCTCCTGTAGAGAGTTTTGGTTAGCTTCCAAATGGAAGTACAGTACTCCCTGTAATACAGAAAGTGGTGTCATAATACTGGGTAGTTTATTATCACTACTAGCAAAATAGGATCTTCCTCCACCGGTGAAAAGTTACAGAAGTAGCCAGTCAGTGCTGGGAAGCCAACCCAGCATGTATAATATTTTTTTCTTACCGAGGTACTGCAGGGAAGAGATTGAGATTTTGAGCTTTAGTTCTGTGACTCTTACTGTTTGTTGGACTTCAGAGCTTGGCCCCATTTGCCTTTTTGATTTAGTATCTTGTTTGGCATGCTTGACTGTAGGACATTGTTCCACAATCATTTTCAATGTTGCTCTTTCAAAGGCAACAGCCTTTTTGCTTCTCTGTGATTAGAAGCTTTGGTCTTACAGATTTGTTCCACTTTTGATGAGGGTTTGTTGGTAATAACTAACCTTGATTTGATAACCTAGTTATTTTGTAATAACTAACCTTGATTAAAACTCCACTATTGGTGAAGATTGACACTCTGGTGGTCTTGCTGAATCATCAGTTGATTTTGGAAGTTTAGATCACAGACATACCAGACTGTGTCTCTCAGTGCTCTATTTGGTAGACAAAAACTTTGTTCCTTTCATGTTTAGAAGTCATTGTGGCTTGTTAGGAGAAATCTGGATAATATACCCTGGAGCCTGTAGGAAACCTAGGCTGGTGAGAATGTGTTTTAGCCATTGACCTGCCTGAACATCAGATGTAAACTGTGGAGAGAATAACCAGTTCTTTTAAGAAATGTATTTAAGGAATGTAAGCACATCATATTTCATCATAACTTGGTTAAACTGTGGAATTTACTGGCGTGTGTGTTTTGGTTTTCTTGTTTGTCTTGCCTAGCTTATTGAACTTGGATAAATCTCTACAGCAAATATGATGTCTGTAGAGATTCTTATAACCTGTGCTTTTTGTATTCAAAGTTTACTTGAGTATCCTTTAACCTTTTTTTCAGCCTGCTCCATCAGAAATAAGACCACCTTCCACAGAAAATATGAAAGATATTCGTAAATTAAAAGATTAATTCTGTATCCCTTGTCATCATTTATTTATTGTATTCATATTAAAATGCTCTTTGGGAAAATTTAAATGTTACAGTATTCATATTAATTAACTTACTTGTATCCTTTGTTGGTTGTACATTGGTTTCGCTGTCATCTCCTTGCAGTCTTAGAAAAATGTCAAGAGAAGTATTTGTTCCATCCTTTGTGTAAGAGCAAATGTTATTTTCAAAAACAAACGGCAAACAAAAAAACAGGATCTGAAATAGCATGTCTTTTAAAAATGAGCCTCCTGTGACACACCACTTTGATATTAAATGTTTAAATTACTCTTATATGCTGGATGACTAATATGATATATTATCACTTCTATACATGAGCTGTTTGCTTTCAAAGGCAAGAAGGGAAGATGGTGCTGCTAGTGTTCTTCAGAAAATGAAAGTTCTTTAGGAAAGAACAGCAGACACAAAATAAAAATAGATAATATAGACCACATTGTGGGGAAGGAATGTATAAGCAATGAGTGTTTACAAATATCTAGAGTTGTGAAGATAGATTTTGCACAATGTGCAAAATTTGTTAGGATACTTGTGTATATGTTGATTTTTGTTGTTGTTGTTGTTGTTTTACCCAAATAATCTCGGTAAAATACAGTTTCCTTGCATTTAAAGTTGCTCAGAATTCTCTGAGGTAGTCATTACATCTTCAAAAGTGCAGGACAACTTAGTTTTCTTAGTTTCTAAACATGTTTCTTGCAGGTATTGGCTGAAATTCAGCAACTGATTTCCAGTAACTTCACTTAAGTCTGTTTTAAGACATGGGCAGCTATCAGAAAGGGTCTTTTGTGATGCAGGGGGTGGTACTCAGGTTTTCAGTGAATACCACAGAATTCTGAAGAATTACATATTTCTAGAATTACAGTATGCATACAGTGTGTAGTACTATGATTTGCATGTATTAAAGTTAAGGGGGCTTTTTAGGTTGACTGTGGCAATTGTTCTTAGCTAGCATCATTTATTGTTTTTTCTGATGGGGAACATTTGTAGGACAGAGTAAGACAATATGCTTTTGGTCTGCGTGGCTATTGAAAACACATGGAGAAAAGCACATTACGGGGTGTGGAAGATGTTTTTCTTTCAATGCGCGTAAGGATCAGTCCCTGGCAGGAGTATGATCCCCTGCTGAAGAGAGCTTCTTACAGACTGTGTGAGTGCTCACTAGAGACCTGATTAGTTTTTCTTTTTATTTTTTTAAATTCTTCACCTCTCTATGTTGCCTTGGGCAACATGGTCTAGTGTGAGGCATCCCTGCCCATGGCAGGGGGATTGCAACCAGATCATTTTAAGGTCCTTTCCAGCCCAAACCAGTCTATGATTCTATGTAGCACAGAGAGTACATTTACAAAAGCAATGTGAAAGTAATGCTGTCAAGTTACTTTTGATACTAAGTTTTATTTAGTATTTGGCTGCTTACATATACTTTACTGTGGGAATTTTTTATATTCTGCAGAATAAAACCCTCAAACTTGACATGAAGCCTGAGAAACAAGTCTCTTGGCCAGCCTCTGTCATTTTGACCCCTTTTTAGCCTGTGAATCACCCATCCCTTGGCTCTTTCCTGCATATGTTTATCCAGGCTATGGCTTTTTTTTTTCTTGGTTTTTGTTTTTTTGTGTTTTTTTTTTTTGCCTCTGGTTTGGGATCTCTTGATTTCCTCTAGTAAGACTTATACCCAAGTTAGAATGCTGGCAACAGCTTAGGAGTTGCAGCGTGAAATGTCTGTATAGGGTAAGAGTGTTTGCAGTGTTGGGAGTAGAGGAGCTGAGGCTGTGAGCTGAGCAGTTAAACTCAATCAAGCAGCAAATCTTAGAGGTTTCTGCAAAAATATTCTGATTTCACATGCTTATCAACACAGCTATGCAGATATGGTCCTTGACTGTGGTTCCTGTGCCAGTAGAGGCTTCTGTGTACATGGGCTTATAATGGAACAAGTGCACTTCTATTGTTACAGTTTGCTAGGCTCATAAGAGACATTTGAAAAGCATGTTTGCTGGCCTAACATAATCTGTACCAGGTGTAGATTTCTAGTACAGTATCCTACTTGAGGTGTGATCTATGAAAGAGTATGCATATGAGTTCTTTGCAACATACAACGTACGACTAATTTCTGCAGTCAACCAAAAGTTAAACCAGAGATCGTGTCCTTGTCCTTACTGTCCCCTCCCCTGCCAAAAAAAAAGAAACAAACAAAAAAAAGTAGTATTGTTGTGGTTTAAGCCCAGCCAGTAATTCAGAACCATGTAGCCACTTGCTCACTCCCCTCCCTTTTTTTCCCTGCTGCTCCTGGAGGAATGGGGAGGAGAATCTAAAGTATGTAAATACCACAGGTTGAGGTAAGAACAGTCCAGTAACTAAGATACCATACAAAACTACTAGTGCTACCACCAATAATTATTAATGATAAAAGAAATAACAAGGGGAGAGAATATAAAACTAAAAGGGGATAAAGGAAAAGAAAACAATAAACACAACTGATACACAATACAATTGCTTGCCACCTGCTGACCACCTCAGCCTGACCTCAGCAGTGATCTGGGTAACTCCCCACAGTTTATATACTGGGCATGACGTGATGTGGTATGGAATACCCCTTTGGCTAGTTTGGGACATGTGTCCTCCTGGCTTCCCGTGCCACTCCTCACTGGCAGAGCGTGAGAGACTGAAAAAGTCCTTGATTAGAGTAAACATTACTTAGCAACAAGCAAAAAACTTGGTGTGTTATCAGCGTTGTGCTCAGAGTAAAGTCAAAAGCATAGCACTGCATCAGATACTAAGGAGAAAAATAACTGTTACAGCTGAACCCAGGACAAGTATAAATAACTAATTTATCATAAGTATTTCCTAGTCAGCTGCAAAAATTCTGGGCCATGAAATACCAGTGCAGAAGATTGTTTGGATTATAGTCACAGCAAGTTTATTACTTGCATATGTAGGGAAGGCACTGATGGAATATTGACCTGCTTACATGCTTAAATTCCACCTGCCCCTTGCACTTTATTCAACAGACATGAATTACCCATACAAAATCACAATAACATTTTACATTTAAATACTTTAACAATGTTAAAGCTTCTGCAAAGTTTCTTCTTTATGACACACAAAGACTATAAAGCTGATGATCTATATTCAGTGGAATAAATTAGTCCAGATATTAAGATGGTGTCTAATTGTATGGTTCTGTTGTGGAAATTAAGATTTTGTTTTAAACATCTAATATTTTATTCATGATGGGGGTGACTGTGGTTTCAAATAATAATCACCGTAAAACATTTTGGGTGGCTGACCTTTTTCTTAATAGTAGTCAAAAGGTTGCGTTTTGTTGATTGCTAACAGATTTCTTCTGATGTTTTCATCAGAAAACAATCTTTTTTCTGTGTTTTCAAACTTACAGCATTGAGTTAAATTCACCCTACAGGATAGATTTCTGGCAGGGCATGTTTGAGGAAATTTTTGGCGTGTATTTCACTTACAGTTAACACTTGAAATATTTTAGGAGCTAGATTTTGTGCAATAAATGGAGATTTGATTGTGTATTCTGCGATTTAAACTGGGAATACTGTATCTTGTATAGATGTCCTTATTGCGCATAAGGAACTAATTTATTATTTTGCAATGAAACACGTCATTGGAGACCTGACCTGATGGAAACAATCCACTGCATTCCTAAAATTACCCTAATCAGGACTGTTGGCCTTCAGGAGACCTCTAGTTTATAGTACTGCCAGTACAGACTTTTATTAGTCTGTGGCACATCTGTTGGCACCATTTCCTTGTAGTTACACGCATTATTGTTCTTTTTACTGAAACAGTAGCATATTCTTATTAGAATGGTTTTAGTAATGAGGGTCATCTGATGTTGTGCCTATCTAGTTAGCATTAACAGGTTTAATATTTCTTAAAAATTTACTCAGTTGAGAGTGGATAGTCCCCTGCTAATTATGGGTCATTTAAGTGGTCTCTTAGGGGTTTATGAAAACATGTTACTTCATCACTATGGCAGCTATCATCATTGAAAAATACCTTAGGCACTTTTTAATGTAAATATGTAGCTGCTTTTTTTAGTCTAGCAGTGGCAAGCAATAATTTAAGAATTGGGAAAAATATTTAACAAATATACAGAAGAGATTTTTCTATACATGTGCTGAAGTTTTTAACTTACACTAATTATCTTTTGCTGCTTATCCTTTTTCTTATTTATCAGACTGAGTTATTGTAAGAAATACAGTTAATATTAATGAAAACTTCCTTGAATTTATTACTTGGCTTTTACCACTTTGTTTACATATGTGGCATTTTCCTTGTCACTAGTCTTGGGGTAATCATTGTTAGTTTTAATTCCTGATCAATGTTGTATCTTGTTCTCTGGATGTGTATCATTTAGGTCCTGTCAGAGGCAGCCTGAACAGAGCTATGACGTATTTAACTGTCCCTGCCAGCTGAGGCTGTGCGTGATCTAACTCCTCTGGTTTTGTTTTCTGCTGAAGTATTTAAATTAATGGGTATGTATGTGGAGCACACAGCAAAAAAAGTTCAGAGTGGACCATTTGGGGGTGCTTGTGAGTGCCACAAGGTATAACCTTTATCAGTACCTTTAAGAACCTCAAAGTGCTAACAATATAGGTGACTGCTGAAAGACTGGATGTTCCACAGTAGTTCAGGACTGCTGAACTGTTGAGTTGCAAAAAAAAAAAACCTGAAACAACCCACCTCTGAAAAAAACAAGGCAAAGAACTTGATAGTTTGGTACCAAAGTCAACAGGGAAACTAGTTTATGCTGCCAGGTTATGTCCAATAAAAAGTACTGTTTCAAGTATTACTTTGATATTAAAAAAGAAATTCTAAATAAAATTGCCCTCCTTGTTTTTAAACAAACTTACTGTCTTAATACAATGTTACTGAAGTTGTAGAGCTAGTATACTAGTATATCCCATTCTTAACTCATACAGCAGTAGGCAGTAACTACAGCAGAGTTAAAAATGATGCTTTGGTCTTATTTGTGAAACCCTGTCTTCTGTGGGTTTCTCAAACTGTAGCAAGGGTAGTATTTTTGTGGTTTTAATTTGAGTGACTTTCCCGATGTCTGAAACCATTGTGTTTTGCTATTATTGTAAGACTTTTCCATAAAACTTGCACATATGCATGTAACACCTTATTCATATAATGCTTAGCAGTTAAAAACATTAAATTCATAATATAAATGAAATACCTTTCTTATATCCTTGGATTGAATTTCATAATCTTGTTGTCTCAGGCTTCCCATGGTAACATCTGAATCATACTCATAAAACGGGAGTGGTTCTTGCTGTATTGGTGGTGCTGCATTTACCAAAGGTACAAATACAAATAAAAAGAAGGTAGTCTGCAAAGTCTTCATTCTTGCACGAGACAACATATCTGGCTTTCACTGAGCTGGTGAAGATCTGCTTATGCGTTGGCTATGAAGAATACTTTCTTTGTGCCTGGAAATGAAAATGCAATCCGTCAAAACAATATTTAAAGCCTAGAGGACTAGTTGGCAGGGGTTTCTAACGCATAAGGAACATGGAACAATTTTTAACTCTTGATATCCTTCGATTAGACTCTGGCATTATAAAAGCTGCTCTTAGTATGGAAAGAAAGTGGGAAATAACAAAGAGCATTTTCCAGCTAATAAGGAAAACACTGTCTTAATTGCATTTGCATGTTTCCCACTGTGTTCTTTTTGTTAATAGCAAGAGGATTTTGTAATGCATTTTATGAAACATTTGGTATTTGTGTAGCTGAACTAATTAAAATGAGAGAGCTTCAAATGCATTTTTCTCAGTTGTCAAAATAATGATTTTTTTCAAACCTAAATGCTTTATAACAACAATAGTATCTCATTCTGCTTTTAAAAGCAAAAAGAGAAGATAACACCCCTGAATATTTTACAGGTTGCATACTTTTAGGGCAGGGGGGAGGAGATTGCAAACATGATATTTAAGACATTTTAAATACACATGCAATACTTTTAAAAATCTTTACACAACATGTTTTTTCTGTTCACTGGAATTGTTTTATTTAAACTTTAGGTTAATATAATTTTAGGAAAGAAGTTCACTTACTTTTTAGCAGAGTCAGAGTTCTTCTGTGATTGTCATAAATCCAGATAAGCTTATCTATAGATTAACCTGAAGCGGATTGATGAAAGAGTATATTTATGAATTACATCCAGATTGTTGAAATGAATACTCTTTCAAAATCTGACAGTCTGAAAAGTGCTTTCCATGGGGTAGAGTATGCTTTGCCATCATTATTTCCCTAGGGTAAGAGGTAATATCCTGGAGCAGGGGGGTTGTACTTTGAGTAGATTTGTAAATGTTAAGCCTGTCTAGCTCATCCTACTTTTGCTATTACTTATTAAAATGGGAGCCTTAAGCTTTGTGACGATATACTTTTTAAAACTGCTAAGGCTTTTTCTGTAAATCAGTTTCTAATTGCTCAAACCAGAGGTCTATAACAAAGCATGTGTTATCCATTTTGTTTAATGGTTTAGCTAAGAGACAAAGCAGCTGCTTTTTGAGAGGTAGAGCCAAAACATACGTGTACTGTATTAGTCACATTTTACTAAGAATAAAATGTTGTATATGTTTAGAGAAGTTTCACCTAAGTATGAAATGGAAACTTTTCAGTCTGAAGAGTGCTGGAAACAAAAAATACTTTTTTAGTATTTTGTGTGTGTTGAGTTTTTCAGACAAATCATGACTAAATGCTTCATTGAATGCCTTGACAATTTATTGAAAAATTGGTTTTGCAATAAATACTTGCTTTGAGTAAAGTTCTGTGTCAGTTCTATAGATAATTTAGCACTGTCCAGGTGTAGAGTTTTCATCTGAACTACAAGCTGCAATTTTCTGGGTTTCTAATGCATTTCTTCCTCCCCCATCTTTTCCTTATTATGTCTTTGGCAGTCAGTGCAAATGGGAGCCAGATGACCAGCCTGAAAATTTACAAAGTAGCCTTTGAGTCTTTAAAAGTATGTAGCAATAAAATCTATTGGGAATATATGCAGATTTACATTTCTCTTTCATTGTCAGACTTTTTTTTCCCCCTATATATCAATGTTGGCTAGAGTAATGTTGGGAATAAACAGTGAACCTATTTGGTTAAGTTTTCTAAGTGCTGCCTTGTTTAGAAACCAGATACCTGTAGTAAATCTGCAAATTGGAGAGTGGCTACAGCCATTTGCTCTCTAAACTTTTTTTCCAGTTTGAGTTACCACTTTCTGAACTCACTAGGACTTTATAAAAATGCTTTTAGTTTAGCTCATATGCAAATTAAGGATGTTATAGTTTGTACTTGGAGTTTGCTCTAGGATAATGAATTTGCTGTAGGTATATAACAAATATAAATGGAAGAGGCTTGATAATAATGGAATTGGACTATGAATCACCTTTGGTTGCTCTTCAGCTGGAACAACAGAAGTTTTGAAGTGGCTGGGTTAAGGTAGTTTCTGCTGCAGTACATGGGAACTTGCAGTGGGAAGGAAGTACTGTGTGTGATAGAGGGGGTGGGTTTGCTGAGGAAGCAACAAAAAAATTGCAGTGTCAATGCTACCTTACCACCACTCATGGTTTTATGCATGTTTTGGAAGTCATGACTGTAGTTCTGCTTTCTACTTGTCTCTTTCCAGCCACCACCCCACTGCCAAGTAAACAGGTTAAGATTTTGTCTGGCTCTGGGGCATCCACATTTTTCCAATGTTTGAATGTACTTAAAGGATAAATGTTCTAAGGGAAAAATATTCATCATTGAAGCTGAAAGCGTGATATAAACTATTCAATGTATTTGTTATATTCTTATGATGATTTATTTTCTAAGTTCCAAAATCTTACAATCCAGTCCATGGAATATTTTGGAAATAGCTTAGGTTTTGAAATACATATATGATCTTTTTTTTAAAAAGAGCAAAAATTGCTAGATAAATAAGGCCTTAAAAAATTAGGCAGTCTTCATGCAAGAAAATTCTTACTTGCTTTGATATATGAGAGGAGAAGAGGCTCTAATGTTGGAAGATTTTAGTAACAACTTCTGCAGAAGACAGTCAAAAGTCTGGGTTCATCAGGGACACAAGATTTCAGTGGTATGTTTACCACGAAACCACTGTGTCATGTGTGTACTCACTATTATCTAAGCATTCATAAGAAACTCATAAACACTTGCTTAGAAATGTGCTTGAAGAGGGATATGTTAAGCAATTACTTTGGCATGATGTCATCAAGGTTTACCTTACAGTATAGCTTTACTGTCACTTTAAACTGTCAGTGCCATATAAAGAAGTAGTCTTGTCATGTATTTCATCTACTTGTCATCCATTGTGCCAGGAAGAAGAAAAAGTATCAACAAATAATTTAAGATAAAAATTGTTTTTATCTGAACATGTAACAGCTGCTCGTACCCAAGGCAGGGGAAGTACAAGTGCAAGCAGCTGTAAACAAGGAAGGGATAGTATTGCTTTTTTCAGCAGCAGTGCTGCTTTATTCTTGAAATAACCACAATATTCAAATAATCTGAAAGGAAAAAATGTGATTCATAGACATCAGCAATAGGGAAGCTGTCAGGAAGTATTCACTCTGACAAGCAGAAAGTACTTTCTAAGCACTAAGAGCTTCGAAGTTTGATATACCTATCTGTTGTTTGGACTGTAGTTACAAGGATCTATATACTTAGAAAGTGGTTTCTTTTCTGAAAGCTAAGCAAGCTGTATTAACTCATTGAGCTCCAGTTTTTGAAAAGAGCTATGATGAGGTGATTATGCTTTCTGATTTGTCAGATGTGTCTTTTTTTTACCTATGTTACTTCATTTTCACTTACTGACTTCCCTGCAAAATACTTTCACCTGAAATGTTAGGCATTTAAAATGGTTATTTTACTAATTGTGTTGAAATGGAATCCTGTCTTAAATTAGAATGCTACAAATTTCACCCCAATTTTGAAGGATATGAAATGTAGCTGAAGGTATAAATTAAGTGTAACACCTCTTCTAGTAGAGGGAATCCAAGTCAGTCTAACAAGGGACACTTGTTTTTTGGATTCTGCTTTCAGAGAAACTTAACTTTAGAGGATAAGGTTTGCCTACAGAGTAGGTATAATATTTGTTCCACAGTGTTACCTTCTATCAGGTTAGACAATGGAGAATAAAAAGCTTTTAGGAGAGAAAAAGAGGATGGATGGGGAGAAATAAGTTGGATGAGATACAGAGAGCAGAGGTAGGAAAGGTATGGGAGAGGAAGGCAGAAATTAAGGTAATTCTCCAACCTATGCATGTTGCTGATTTAAATCCAGCATCTGGGAAGGAATCTAATATTTAGTACTGCTTGCATGTCAAGGGCAGGTAAAGTAAAAAATCAAGCTGAAAATATCCTAAAAGCACTGAGGAATGATTTTGTTTTGCAGGCAGACAAGTGGGTTTTGTATGTTATTTGAACTGGCTGATGTCCAGGTCAGATTAATCTTGTCTTGAAGTGGCCTTGTATTCTGACCTGCTCAGAGCTTTAGGATGATTAATTCATTTCTATTCTCAACTTACTACCAGCACTACGAAAGGCAGATAAAAAGAGATAGCATTTTTTTTCTTAAAAGTTAATCATGCAGGTGCATACCACAAAGCTGCTATGAGCAGCTCTCATCCATCGTTTGTTACCAGAGAAAATTACACCCATTTAAGTGGGAGGGCAGTTTTCTTCATTTTCTGTGAGTTTTGGCAAAAAGAAGTTCTCATAGGTGCTAGCATGTTGGTTTCTTTTTTTTGTTTTGATTTTGGTTGTTTTTGGTTGGTTGTTTTTTTTTTACCATGTTGGTTCTTAGCATTTTGTACTTAATCCTTAGCAACTAAGTATAAAAATTGTAGGAAAGAGCATTTCTGTACTTCTTTTAGCATTACTTTAAAATGGTGTAATGTGTTTTATAATGGAACTGGGGGCTGGTTGCTGGTAATTCTTACTGTGAGGCACTTAAGTCTTGTTCCTGGTGAACCCCTGCAAAGTACTGAAGAACTGATTGACCTACAAAAGCCAGATAACCAGAGGGGAAGTAGCCTTCCCTTTCTGGTTGGTTGGAAATTACTTCTCCAGCGTGTCTGCAGGAGTTAGGTGGAAGCAGGGACTGGCAGTGCTATATGAAGACTCATGATGATGTGATGGGAGGGCTAACACTAAGAAAAAAAGGGGGGGGGGGGGGAAGAAGAAAAATGGGGAAAACCCCACCAAACAAAACTTAGCACTTATCTCTGGGGTGCATGAGTTAATAGGGATGTGAGGCAGCACTAGGGAGAGTGCTATAAGGTTGCTATCAAGATATTCCTTATGAAATAAAGCTGAGATTCTTTATTTTTTATTTTTTTTTTAGTTTTAAATACTCAGGTTTGTTCTGTATTTAGGCAAAGAAAGTGTATGTTTGCAGCTGCTTACAGAACTTGGCTTTCATCTTGTGTCATAGTCTCTAAAGG